CCGATATCCATGCTGAAAATGTCATACTTGTACTGAAAATACGATGTGGCATCAAGCTGTTATCGAAAAAAATTGAAATTAAATTCTAGATTCGGTAGAACCACAACAATATCAGCACAGGTTTAATTTTATATAGCTGATGACTGTCAAGTTTGACTAAAAGTGTAACCTGTATTCCATCGATACTTACTAAGAAATAAATATCAAGATCTTACAATGTGTGGTGGAGTAAGACAGCACTACTCATTTGCAATTAAAACTGTTCTCTGAGCTGGTTGGTTTGGTTGAGGAGCTTTCGTCATCCCCCCGCTGGACAACATCCCCTTTCAGCGCAATATTTGGCATAAAGTGAAATGATTTAAATTTCTTCATGAGTGATATAATTGCGTCTCCTGGTAACCATCTTTACATATGCATTGACCATTTTCTATTGACTTGGATTTTAAACTTTCTGGTCACCTGATTTACAACAACACATTTGAAGACATCAAATTCACAAGAGAAGAAGAATTAGATAACAAAATCCCATTTTTAGATGTCTTGATCAGGAGAACCAACACAGGAGATTTAGAAACACAAGTATATAGAAAATCAATGCACACAGATCAAATACTCAACTATACTAGCAATAATCCAATTACTCACAAACGAAACTGTGTGCAGACATTGTTTAAAAGAGTTCAAACACATTGCAGCACTCCAGAGTTGAAAAGAATGGAAGAAAAGTACCTACAAACGGTCTTCAAAAAGAATGGTTATCCACAAAATTTCATCAAAAAGTGTTTAAAGTCGAATCAAAACAGCAACAAAGAACCATCATAAAAGACCACAAGAAAATTCATTCTACCATACATGAAAAATATCTCTGAAATAACAGCGAGAATACTGAAACCGTTTGGTATAGATATAGCACACAAGCCAGTCAAATCGCTTAATTCGATATTATGCAAACCAAAAGATCCAACAGAAAAAAGGGATAAAATTAATACCATTTACAAAGTTAATTGTATGAACTGCAACAAGCATTACGTCGGTCAAAGTGGGCGTCCTCTTCGAATCAGAATCCAAGAACACAAATCAGCCGTGAAAAGACACGATATGTATTCTTTAGTATCAATGCATATAGACAATTATGGTCATCAATTTGACTGGGATAATATCAAAATCTTAGACAGAGGAAACAGAAGAAGTGCAGTCAGGGAATTCCTAGAAGACTGGTACTCAAACGAAAATGCAATTAACAAACACGTTAATATAGACGAAATATACCAACTAATAAAAAGTAAATCAGGTGACCAGAAAGTTTAAAATCCAAGTCAATAGAAAATGGTCAATACATATGTAAAGATGGTTACCGGGACCAGGAAAGATCAGCAGATAGAATGACGCCTAGGTATTTAAAACTCCGTCACTCAATCAGTCAGAGGCCTATTCACTAACTTTGATATGATTAAATCCACATCGCTTAGCAAGCACATACTGGCTGTTTAGATTTAAAAATCATGACAGTACCTAATCGATAGGTTTAAAAAAGAGGCAATAATTTAAAATTTTGTTGTTTTGAGATGAAAACGAATAATTTTTTTTAAGAAATGAATTAAATTCGAACATTTTCTGAGGAAAAAAAAGCAGTCGTATTATAATTAATGTGAATCTATGTACGTATAATGATTACAACATTTTAACTACGAAGTAGGAACGGTTAATTAGGCCAATTTAATGATGAAAAATTCAAAATTTGAAGTTTTAATGAATTTTTAGAGTTATACTGTTGTTAATAATAATAATAATAATATGAATAGGTATTGTACATATCCACATATGCGTATTTGTCAAAAAGTAAGTAGCATTTAGACATTCAGATTAGGGGATTTGTGAGGATTTGGATCAACTTCACCGGTTAGATATCGTCACTAACAAACATCATTTGAAGAGATCACTAAGCGTAAGGCAGCACTGGATACCTTTCCTGACTCTGTTTGAGATTTCTCAGCAGTACGGACCCACTCATCGCCAGGGATGGAACCCGAGACTTTTCGGCTACATGACAAGTTCGTAGACCATCCAGTGATTGGAACCCGATCCAATTATCCTCCAGTCAATGTCATCGGCGAGTATTATTCCGCATACCTGACGTTGTGGTCCAAATTGGTCATGACTTCTCACTGGAACTCCATACAATTTCATCCTGTAACGAGTCAATAGCCAGTATTATATTTACATTTCATCAGTTAGTTCGTAGGGATCTGATTCGTTTCAAGTTCGACCACAGAGTGATATCATTGGAGTTTCTAGGTTCGATCTATGATGGTGTCTTTGTTGTGTACTGAAGAAGAGTCCCAAACTAAGATGAAACACCGATCGAGTGCTCCCTGGCGGTTTCCGATGGTTCAATAACTGACAACAATTCGGAGTCAAACTTGAAACCTACAAACAAACTCTCGAATGGTTACAGGATTTCATCATGAGCTGATATTGGTTAGAGAACCACTGGAAAACCCGTGAGTACTGCACAGCTGTTTCGTCCTAGTTTGGGGCTCTTCAGCAGTACGCACCCATCGGGATTCGAACCCAGGACCTTCTGGTCACAAGCCCAGCTCGTACACCATTAAGCCTTTGCGACCCGATCCACTGGCCCATTAATTCTAACTTCTGCCAATTCACGATATAACGCGACCCCTAGCCAATGTCTTCGACGAATATTTGTCCTCACACCCAACCTGATGCACCCTACTGGTCACGACTTCCCACTGGAACCCCAGGTAACTACCTACCTGAATAGGGCCAGTCGCCAGTGAGCATCTCGAATGTCTCTTTTCATACCTTCACTTCATAGCTGTACAGTTGTCCAGTGTGTGTGTGGGGGGGTTAATAACTGATAACAGAAATCAGAGGTTATTTGCCAAATGGTAACAAAATAAATCGAAGTGTGTGAGTAATAACAATGTCTGTGTGTGTGAAAAACTGGGAATAATCTTACGTAATCAATAGGCTTTACAACTGATTAGTTAGTTAGGTGATAAATAAACCTTAGAGATAATTTTCAGGAATCAAAGGAACAAAGGATTGAAAATGAAGATGTAATTTGTCTAAATCGTGTAATGTATTTGCTCAACACATTTCGAACAATCTGACCACACACGGACTTGTCATAGGAATATATATGAAATTAATAAAGAGGTAAGAGGTGAGAAAATAGACTTAGGTCAAGTTAAAAAGGACATATTCAAGGTCAAAATAACAATGAAGACCACTAAACCAAATAGCAGAGGTAATAGTACATATACTATGATATCAAAACAAAATTTACCAAGGAGGGTTCAATGTGTTGACGAATTGTTTTTGAACACATAAAGGTGGCTTAAACTTTCTAATTACCAGCTAAGGATTCCACAAACTTTAGGATACGCCCCAAACACGTTTTATAGATAGGTTTAAAAGATCTGTTAACGTCAATTTTATGTCCTGTCTCTATAATATGTTTCGCAACAGAAGAGCTAGGTCTCCTGTTCTCACATATCATAGCATATGTACTATTACCTCTGCTATTTGGTTTAGTGATCTTCATTGTTATTTTCACCTTGAATATATCCTTTTAACTTGACCTAAGTCTATTTTCTCACCTCTTGTCTGTCTGTCTGTCTATCTATTTTCGACATAGAACTTTGCACATATGTGCGGCAGTGCAAGTCGCCACACTCCCTCCTTGTAGCACACAAAGCAACAGAAGAAAGTAGGAGGAATGCATAATATCGACAGTAAACAGAGATGTGAGACAAAGATATAGTAATAACGAAGAACAAAACAGTTTAATTGCCTTGTAACCGGAAGGTCGTGGGTTCGAATCCCAGCGGGTGCGTACTGCCGATGATTCGCAAACTAGGATGAAACAGCAGCTGTCCAGTACTCCCTGGTTTTCAATGATACTTTAACTTATATCAATCCGTGATCAACTCGTAAAAACATAACAAAACCTTACAAACCAAACTATAGGAAATCATAAGTCACAAGGAGTGGATGCATCTGCGTCACTGAGAACGATTTTGAGCTAGCCATGTCACCAATTGTTTCCAACCATTGGTTTTTACCATCCCGAGGACCCCAACCAGTCAGGAAGCCAGTCTACACCTTCCTACGTGGCTGGCTTAGACTAACTGTTGTAGATTTCATTGACTCGTGCCATGTTTTGGTTTGACCACCGATAGCCCTTTTCCAGCCTGACCCTATATCAGCTAACATTGCCCATTGTCGAGGAAGGCGATGGATGACTAGGCATACGTAACACATATCCTAACCATCTCAGTCGATGTATTTCACCCCTTACCTCTTTATTAATTTCATATATATTCCTATGACAAGTCCGTGTGTGATCAGATTGTTTGAAATGTGTTGAGCAAATACATTACACGATTTAGACAAATAACGTCTTCTTATTGCTTTATCTAAATTCATAAAGGGAACTAATTGTTTTAGATTGAAAATGAGTTACAAAAACAAAAAAAATAAATAGGACTATGTGGAGTTTACGATACAAGATATCAGGGGAACAAAATTAAAACCACAGTAGAAGCTTTGACATTCTCATTCAATCCACCAGTAGTTGAGACGATGCTAACTGAATATATGGAAGAATTGATCTCTTGCGAATTTCCCATGTTGTTAGTGATAAGTGCTTGGTGGTCAGTAGGGTATCTTCATCTCCGCCTTCTTCTCTATGTTCACCTGAAGTTCTGCCTTCTCTCTCTCTGCCCCTTTCACCAACCTAATGGTTGCAGATGAAAGACGTGCTCAATTGAAGTGAAAATATTCATAAATCTTTCCGTCTGATGAGTTCAGAATACGGGGAAATTGTAATTTACTAAAACTCCCCAAGAGTCAATAGCTGTTACATAAGTTTTCTCGTATACAAGTGTACTTTGAAGTGGAAAATATGTTGAATTATGTTTGTTTTAATTGAATGCACTTTCCCATCTATCATCTTATAAATTAATTAATTTCAGTGTGAATGTACGAATGCAACTGAGTTGTTTAAAGAATTACTATGGTAATCATTGTCAAGTTTATTGCAAACCGGAACCATCTCGATATACATGCAATTCAGATGGCTCATTTAATTGTATTCCAGGTAAGTAGAATTACTTCTGTAATAAACAAGAAAAGGTATTATTGTTTCAATATTTTCAGAGGCAATTTAAAGCAGAAAACCATGAGATTGTGTAATGACTAACACCGAATTATTCTCGTCTGAAGACAGGGAATCAAACAGTGAACTCTTCTGTACAGCTAACCAAACTCCTTCGAATGATTCACAGCAGCTAAAGTTGTCCGTGGTAGCAAAGGGACAATTGCTTGCCATAAAATCTGTGATACCATTGTATGATTCTAACAGATCAAAAGAGCAAAATTCATTGGGGTTTTTGTATTTCCCAATGATTGAAAAACAAAACGATATTGTTGTTTTCACTGATGTTTCTCTATTTAATGCTAATAGAATTATTAAAGTGTAATTAAACCAGAGTTTACAAAATCTCAGCTTATATATAAAAAGTGAATCATCATTCCTCAGCATGAGGTCATTTTTGTGTTGTCAAGTTGGCCAATCGGTAAAGATAACGAAACTAGGTGAAGATTCCATTATGGGTAAAATCTGTTTTGATAAAGTCTCACAGCGTTATACAGTAATGTTCACTGTTGACCACGTTTCGAGCACAATTTATTGCTGCTCATAATCATATCAAAGTAATCACACGACTTCCTAAATTCATTTATATAGTTCCATTGTTTTCCACTTGATTTGATTAGTAGTAATATTTTCCATATTTCGGGTATGACTGCTGAAGCATTCCTATTGCATGTGTTGGGTGTAGATTCGATGAACAAAGATTCAGTAATCAACCTCTCTCTCCGCCTACCTAGATTACTTTTTAGAATTTTAACCCTCTCCCACCCACCCTATTGTGTGGTTGTGTGTTAATGCATGCAGTGAAGTTGCTGAGCTTTTTTCTAAATTACTTATCTTCTCTGGGTCAACCATTCTTACCTTAGCTGAATTCTTATGTTCTGACAATCTGACTACCTCTGACCTATTAGTTCGACCTATGTAGTTGACCTCACAGTCATTGAAGGGTATTTTGACTTATATTCCCTTAAGGGAGAATTAGGCTGGTGGCATTCAAACCTACAAACTCACTCAGGTAGGACAAGCTCTGTAGGTTAAAGGACCCTGTCGTTTGACCCAATTACACAAAATAATATAGTTTACAAAATACCCTGCAATGACTGTGAGTGAGGTCAACTACATAGGTCAAACTAGTAGGTCAGGGGTAGTCAGATTGTCAGAACATAAGAATTTAGCTAAGGTTAGAATGGTTGACCCAGAGAAGATAAGTAATTTAGAAAAAAGCTCAGCAATTGCAATGCATGCATTAGCACACAACCACACAATAGGGTGGGAGAGGGTTAAAATTCTAAAAGATAATCTAGGTAGGCGGAGAGAGAGGTTGATTACTGAATCCTGTCTGGTTCATCGAATCTACACCCAACACATGCAACTGGAATGATTCATCACTCATACCGGAAATATGGAAAATAATACTACCAATCAAATCAAATGAAAATCAAGTGAAAAACAACGGAACTATATAAATGAAATTAGGAAGTCGTGTGATTACCTTGATATGATTATGAGTGGCAATAAATTGTGCTCGAAACGTGGTCATCAGTAAACATTACTGTATAACACTGTGAGACTTTATCAAAACAAAATTTACCCATAATGGAATTACACTCTACCACAGTGCACAAGTTTTATTCTTATATCAGATCCCTGCTAAATTAACATATGGAAAAGCCCAAATTATTCAAATTCTTTTAAGTATATATCAACATTTGCGGAGTTATATCTCTCTTCTCTGACAGAGGAATTTAGTAGCTTACACAAGTGGTTTAAAAGGATCTGAGACTGTTGCTCGTCTTATTTCCCATCTGATTATATTTGATCAATAACACTCATATTATAATTTCTGAATGTACATTATCCTATATTGATTTTTATTCCGTCCACGTATGTAAATGAAGGAAAACGTTGTCTGAGTAACTTGATATGATTATGAGCAATAGTTTGTGCTCGAAACATGGTCATCAATTAATATTACTGTATAACAAACACTGTGTGATTTATCAAAATAAAATCTTATCCATAATAGAACCCATAACTATACCATATTTTTGTCTGTATATCTCATTATTGAAAGAAAAGTGGATATTTAGGGTATCTTTCTTTTCCTTATATTTCTGTGTACTATTATGAAGTTTGGTACTTTGAACCGTGACACTTTTGTTCGGAATTCCACATTTTTGAAAGTTCAGTTCGATTCGAATTGTTGAGTAATACTGTACTAAATTGAGATACTGCACGAAACTTTACATATTCGACGGTACAATATCTTGTGTCCGAAGAATTACATATTTCGTAATTGTATTTTAATGTATTTTGTTTTCGCAACTTCTAAACAATTATGCTACCTTTTGTCATCCTTTTAGGTCTAATAGGGGTAAACTGTGATAAAGAAGATTCCTGTTACTATGAGCCATGCGCTGATCATGCTACTTGTGTTAATAAAGACAATGAATCTGGGCGTATTTGTGTTTGTGGTGGAGAAGAAAGTGAGTGTGCTTATTTTAGAAATTAATATTAGTCGCATAACCTCACCTAGATTTCTAGCTCTCTAGTTTTCTAGCCGGACTCCAGGTGGACATAGACAAGACGAAGGTTATGAAAATAACCAACCAACAACAACAACTACAACAGAAGCAGCAGCATCCAGAGCCAATCACCATCAACGAGAGGGATTTGAAAGAGGTTACTTCATTCACTTATCTATGGAGCACTGTCTCAACTACAGGAGGAACGGACGACGATGTCAAATCGAGAATCGGGAAGGCGAGAAACACATTCATCAAGCTCAAACCAATCTGGAAATCTTCCGCTGTCACTCCTCAACATCAACAACAAAATTCGGATTTTCAATACAAACGTCAAGTCAGTCAGTCAGTTCTTCTATACGAATGGATCAGAAACTTGACGGCGGGTCACAAAGAATATTTCCAACAGTCTGTTGCACACCTTTATCAACAACTAACTAACTGTCTTCGCTGGCTCTATACTGAAGATCAGATGGCCGGAAAGAACAAGAACCAAGAAGAAACAAACTATGGCAACAAACAAAACAAGAACCAATCGCTCAAGAAATATGCAGGAGAAAGTGGAGATGGATTGGACACTCACTCGCTGAGGAGGCTATTCGCTGGGTGACATCGCGCGTCAGGCCAGTGTTCGAGTGGAACCCGAAATGGAAGCGGCGAGTTGGTCGTCAGTACAAAGGTGATATGGAGGAGATCGTGTGAAGAGGAGTTGAAACAGTATGGACTAACATGGATGCAGGTGAAAAGTACAGCAGAAGACAGAAACAAGTGGAAATGTGCAGTTGAAGCCCTATGTTCCACTAAGAGGCCGAGGGAACAATAATAATAATAACTTAGTCGCATATGTGTTTGTTTGACTTTGAAAAACTAAATACCACTCGGACAATGTGATACGACTTGAAGTTATTTGGTGGATGGTAACTACCGATGGAATGACGAGTGTGCTTTCTGTCCTTTTTGAGACTCGTCATCTGGGTATACCTGTATTTCCCAGTGAGTGACCGTGTTGCCATTGAGACTCGAAACTAGCATCCATCGTTTCGAACCCCAATGAGTTATCAATTAGGAATTTAGGTACATCTAGCTGACGAGTCCTAAATAGGAGAAAATGTGCATTCACGATTCTTCTGCAAGCTATCACCCACCAAGTAACACCATTGCTGATCCTCAAGCATCATTGAAGCGCCTGCATTATAAGGTGGCAAATTAGTAGAGGCCAAACAACCCGATCCAATCAGTCAACGGGGAAACAAAACTGCCTTAAAACACTTGTTATCATGTCCCCTATGCCAGCACATTCTTCTCAATTCCTAAAGAAAAGTGACATGCATCGTGGTAAATATGGCCTGTTGTGACATAATACACTGTGGCACAACCTTGTTTGGTTAGGCTACCAATGGAATCAGATCTAGGCATACCCAGTCGTGTCATGTTCTAGAATGCAACTGAACCTTACTTCTGTTAAACAGTCTAAATATATATAAATCTACAGTTCTTCAACAAATCTACGACAAATGGGGAGAATTTGTAGCTGAAGTAGACATTAGTGTAGTTGATTTTTTAAGTTGAGTGGTTTAATGGCAAAGCTTTCATTACCCTTTTCTGGACAACATATTCAGCGCTGATCTCAATATAAAGGGAGTCTTCAAAGTTTTCCAAGAGTATATTAGCCGTCTTTCCAAGTGACGCTGGACGTGGTTGAATGTTTCTAGAGATATTTATACCCTGCTGTCCACCTGTATATATATGTAGATTATTTCGTTGACCTGATTGTTGATCTTTGTCCACGTGACTCACATTTTGCTATCTTGGAAATCTGATCTATTTTAATGTGCTTGTTCTTGTTGGATTCATCTGAGTACCAGGCTTCTAGAAATTCTCTGAGATTACTGGGAGCTGTTTGACTTCACACTGAAGTATGTGGTCTAGATTTACAATGAAAGATTCTCCATTAAAGCACCTAGCGCAGAGAACATAAATACCCTGAAATTAAATGTCTCATCGATCACATCTTGGGTCATAAAGTATACGAGCCTTTGCATGCCCCATTCTGATTGGTTGCTCAAGGTCATCTGTCGTTTACCATCCTGTAGCTTCCCTATCAGTACTGTTAACACAAACTAGTTTCGGACAATGGGATTTATGGGGTTTCCGGGTTAATTTCAATTGGTAAATTTCATCAGGAACTGACATCAGTTAGGGATCATTGAAAAGCAGGGAACACCGGACAGCTATTACATCCTAGTCTCGGACTTTTCAGCAGTATATTATTATTATTATTGTTTCCTTTAATTCCTAGAGGAACATAGGGCTTCAGCCGTGCGTCTTCATTGCCCATTAGTATTTTAATGTCACCGACTGGAGTATTGTCCATTGTTGCCTGTAGTTGTCTGTAGAATTCTTCTTTCTTTTCGAGGTCTGCGTTGTTTGTCGGTGCATAGCATTGTATAACTGACACTTTCCTTCCTTTGGAGTTGAATCTGGCGGTTATTATCCTGGGCGAGATCGCCTTCCATTGCATCAGGGCCTTCGTTGCCGTTGGTGACATCATGATAGCCACGCCATCGGTTTGCATGTGGTTATCCTCTGGATGACCGGAGTAGATCACTGACTCACCCGTTGACAATTTGGTGAGTCCATTCCCGTTCCATCTGCTTTCACGTATTCCCAGTACTTGAATTCTGTATCTTTTCATTTCGTTTGCGATCTGGGCTGCTTTGCCAATCTCGTGCATGGTGCGGACATTCCATGTCCTCACACAGACTTTTTCTTTTGGCGCAAGGAGATTCATCGTGCTGAAGTTTCCGTAGCAACTTTGATTACATGGTGGGTTGCTAGCCTCACACCTGAGAAGGGGAGAGAGAAAAGGTTAGTGTTGCGTGACCGCAGAACCCAGGTAACAACTGCTTGAGGCCGGTCACACATGGCCTGTTTTTGGTTGTTCTTTCTTGTTTGGTATGTCTCAGTAGCACATTTATCACTTCTGCCCTGTGACACAGCAGCAGGAAGCGTGGTCGTTGTTAATTCGGGCCTCGACCGATCCGGCATGATATTTTGTGAGTTTGTTTGAGTCATAGTATTGGATTGGGTAGCTGCTTTTTGTCTACCCGCTATCCAAACAACCTTTCTGGCATGGCAGGACCTACAGGAACATAAGTTCCAGCCAGTGTAGCTCGTTGGGTCATTGCGATATGCAAGCCCGACCACCACGTCAAGGTAGCAGCTATCAGTGGAGCTTTTCAGCATTGACCACTCAAAACTCCACCAGGAATTGAACTTAATACCTTTAGGTTACAGATACTCAGTGCTCCCTGGTATTTATTGATCTTTAACTGATATTGGTTCGTGATGGCATCTAATAGTTGAAAAAAACTAATTTGATTTCAAATAATTCAACTCACCGAATACATATATTTATTGATTTTCTACACTAACATTAAAATGGTTTTACTGTTGTATGATGAGTTTTCTGGGAAATAAGCTCATTTCTCAACAGGTGTGCTCATTAACAGAAAGAATTCGTGTATGTGAATGAGATGTAGCGAGTGATTGAATGTTCCCATGGCTAAAATATACGCATCAATGATAAATCTGGTTTAATTGAAATCATAAAAAACATACTTTTGTTTTAAAACTATTTGATAAAAAGAAAATTAGTGAAATCAACAAATGGTATGATTAATGAGGGAAGGAAAGATGGACGTTGAAAAGTTTTAAAATAACTGAATTGAGCTAATGGCGTGATGATAATCGCATGTTATTCGTTTAAGGTTATCCGTGAGAAAGTCGTGTGTTCATATGGAGATTTTCCCTACAGAAAAACAATTTGAAAAACAAACAGTGATTACCAATCATCATCATAATTTGGGTTTCCTAGGGATTTTGAATACATTTGGTCACAATGTTGTGTGCGAAGATCGCCACTTGCTGAAGACATTGGTTGTCACTTGTGATAAATTGCTGATTGATATTGACTGATTTTCAAGTATTGGTTTTGTAGGGATTTTGTTTGATTTCATGGAGGATTTCATCATGAGCTGACATCATTCAGAGTCCCAGTGGCCCAGTGGTCTACGAGCTCGCTAGCCTTGTAACCAGAAGGTCCTGGGTTTGAATCCCGGTGGGTGCGTACTGCTGAACAGTCCCAAACTAGGATGAAACAGCTATCCAGTACTCCCAGGTTTTCCAGTGGTTCTCTAACTGATGTCAGCTCGTGATGGAATCCTCCATGATATTGGCTGAGGCGGTGAAGGCATTTGGCTCACGAGTTAAAAGTCCTGCACTCAACCTCTGGTGGAGTTGGGAGTGCACACTGAGGTGAAGGGTTCCACACCGAGACGACAAGTCTGTCTAATGTTCCATAGGTTTCTTCACTTCTCTGACCGATTTAAGTTTTTGTGACAAACTCTACATTGAGATTGTCGACAAATTAGAATTGAATGAATTTATTAATTCTGGTAGAGAACTTCGATTAAATACGCCACATACAGGCTCATAAAAATGTCAGTGCAATTAATGCCAAAGTATTACGCGACCCTACGAGTTAACTGGATGTGTAAAATGGCCGAAGTAGATATTATTGTTATTATCATTATCATTATTCCCATAGGTTCCGAGTGAAACATACGGCTTCAAAAGCATGTCTTCATTTCACTCTGTTAAGTACGGTCTCTTTGAGCTGTCTGCCTAATTGCCCCTAGGCTCTTATCTCTCCCACAAATGATTTCCTCCACGTTACAATCGGATACTGAACTTATCCTTTTCCATTCATCTTCCACTCGAGTGTTTGGCGTGTGTGTCACTCAGAAGGTCCCCTCAGAGTGTGTTCAACCCATATATTCGCTTCCTTCTGCCTATTTCTTGGTCGGGCAATAGATCTTGATTGGTTCATTACCAGAGTTCTTTGTTGCTAATCTCTCCTGGCCAGCTGATCCTCAGTATATGAAAATCTGCAACATCCTATTGGAAATGCTTTCCGTGATGGGCTTAGTCTCTAAAAGCATAATGGAAGAACTAGCTTGATCTTGGGGTTGAAAATCCTTATCTTGTTCTTTATGTTTAATGTGCCCAGAATCTCACATTGATTTCGAATTAATGGATGACTGCCTTGCTATTCCGATCCTGGTCAACTCTGACATTTTTGTTCGTGCCACGTGCCTGTAGTTGGGACGATGAGGCCTAGATAAAAGAAAGAAGTGATTTCTTCTCGATTTCTCCCCGTGATGACGACTGGCGCTAGTTGCTGAAGGTTAGGTATCTTCATCACCTCTGTCTTACCTATGTTCACTTGAAGTCTCGTCTTCGATGACTGATTCTTCTGTCAGATTGTTGGTTTTCACCTGTTAACCTTTGAGTTTGTGTGACGTTACAAGCCATGTATTTATTATTATTGTTGTTGTTGTTCCCTTGGCTGCCTATTTGAACATAGGGCTTCAACTAAACGTCTCCACTTGTTTCTGTCTTCTGCTGAACCTTCCACCTCCATCCATGTTAGTCCATACTGTTTCAGTTCCTCTTCACACGATCTCCTCCATGTCATCCTTGCATTGACGACCAACTCGCTGCTTCCTTTTCGGGTTCCACTCGAGCGTTGGCCTGACGCGCGATGTCACCCAGCAAGTTGCCTACTCAGCGAGTGAGTGCCCAATCCATCTCACCTTTCTCCTGCATATTTGTTGGGCGATTGGTTCTTGTTTTGTTTGTTGCCATAGTTTGTTTCTTCTTGGTTCTTGTTCTTTCCGGCGGCCATCTGATCTTCAGTATAGAGCCAGCGAAGACAGTTAGTTGTTGATAAAGCTCTGCAACAGGCTGTTGGAAATACTCATTCTTTGTGACCCGCCGCCAAGTTTCTGATCCATTCGTATAGAAGAACTGACTGACTGACTTGACGTTTGTATTGAAAATCCGAATTTTGTTGTTGATGCTGAGTTGAGTGACAGCGGAAGATTTCCAGATTGATTTCAGGTGGATGAATGTGCTTCTCGCCTTCCCGATTCTCGATTTGACATCGTCGTCCGTTCCTCCTGTAGTTGAGACAGTGCTCCATAGATAAGTGAATGAAGTAACCTCTTTCAAATCCCTCCCGTTGATGGTGATTGGCGCTGGATGTTGCTGTTGTTGTTGTTGTTGGTTGGTTGGTTATTTTCATAACCTCCATCTTGTCTGTGTTCACCTGGAATCCTGTCTTTGCTGCTTCTTCGACCAGTTTGTTGGCTTTCGCTTGTAAGTCTTCGATTTTGTGTGACATCAAAATAAATCATCCGCGAAATCCAGGTCTTCTAGGTTCTTCAAGTTGGTCGAGGATATCCCTGTTTTCTCGTTTCCCACTATCTGACGCATAATTCAGTCCAGTCCACCACAATTAGGAATATCATTGGTGATAATAAGCACCCTTGTTTGACTCCTGTGTTTACTCCAAAAGCCTCGCTGAGTTTTCCGTTGTGGATCACTTGACATGTGCCGTTGTCGTACAGCTGTTGAATAAGGTTGATGAATATTTGGGATACGCCGTAGTACTCGAGTAGTTTCCAAATTACTTCGCGGTCAACGCTGTCGAAGGCCTTCTCGAAGTCTGTCAAGTTGAGGTAGATGTTTGATTGCCATTCCATGCTTCGTTCTGTGATGATGATGCGTAGGGTTGCAATTCGGTCAGAACATGATTTGCCTATCCTGAATCCAGCTTGTTCTTGTCGGAATTCTGTATCCAGTGCGTCGTTTACAAGCCATGTATTTTCCTTTGTTAAAATATTTTCATATATTAGTAAACTGAGTTCATTATGGAAGTAGACTTAGCTGTGTGTAGTGTAGCTTCCCTCAGTGTATTTTGTTTGTACCAACCTCTTGACAGTGATGCGATAGATGACATTTGTAGCATAATGCGTCCTCCTTACAGAGTTGTCAGGTCTACAACTGGCAACTTCAGGTATATTAACCACATTTTTGAATGTCAAACCAACTAGGTAAAACCCAGGGAACTGAGCTGATCTCCAAGAAGAGTATTTTCACGCATACATAATAATAAAAGCTTTATTCTGAACATGTTTATATGTGGTACGGAATTTTCAGCCTGACTTTTTAATAATAATAATAATAATAGTGATAACAATAGCTTTATTATGCACAATAAGGTTACAGAATATGCATGGTTTTCAGCATAGTTTATGGCATATTATCTCCTCTTCATCCAGGAGTTTCCATTGAAACTGCCATCTCCAGTACATCATGTGACGCGGTGATGGTAGATATTTGGCCAACAACCGACGAAAATGAATTATTCAAACAAAAAACTGGAGAAAATAAGATGCATCATCTCTGACTGAAATTCATGTAGCTCAGAGATTCAAGTAGGCCGCCGAATCTTCTCTTCAAAGAGTAATCTACGGTGTATGTCTTTCGACGGAATTTCTCTCTGTCTACAGAGTTCTGCAGTCGTCAGCTTGTTTTTCTCTTCAAAACAGACCAAGCGATGTTGTTGAAATGCACCACTTTGTATACTACTGATTACCTGAGATGAGTAGTCGTTGGATGCTACTCACATCATCGAGCAGTGTTTGTTAGCCAGATCAAAGTGATCCAAACACCGGGCGACCTTTTCTATCATTTCAAGTTGAGCTTATCAATAATGTAACCAGTTTGACTTAGATCAGAGACAAATTTCGCTAGACGACATCGTCATTTCGTAGTTTCTTTACAACCGCTTTATAACCAACATGGTTAACAATAATAAAATAAAGTTCATGACAATTACTCAGTTATACGAAACAAAATTACATAAAAATGACCAATCATATTTAAATAGGTCAAGTAGCCCATGGAAGGTGAAGGTTGAAGTCTATTGTTTTTTGTACAAACAGTTTAGGCTGTATGTGATTAATCCAAAGTGCTTCCATCACTTTCAAAAACCAACCTTGAATTAGAGTTCAAATGAACTGTCGTCAAGATTTGACATCATAGTTCTAAAATATTTGGGCGCCGAGTGAGAAGTAGACATTTGTAAAAAATTATATTTGTAAAGTCTCAGCGAGATTGAAATGAGTAATTCCAACGTTTCGTTCGGCAATCTGGTCCGAACTTCTTCAGGGAAATTAATCAAAATTAACATAACAGAGGTCTTATATATAAAAGGCACATCTTTTGTTTTTAAAAACTTTGTCCAATCATGATTCATAAACACAAGTATTAACAAGCATAATAATAATACAAATGTCTACTTCTCACTCGGCGCCCAAATATTTTAGAACTATGATGTCAAATCTTGACGACAGTTCATTTGAATTATTTTGCTATCGAATTAAATTAACAAAGAAACTATGTAATCGGCACAATCATCGTGTTTTCTGTCTCCGTTGTCTGGAACAAAATGCACATCCTAAATCCGTAGCTGTCGAGTCACCTGACAACTCCAGTAGGTCGAATAAAGCAGCTCAATATTCAGAAAGAAGACAATGCAATAAGTTCGACAGGGTGCTTAAACTAAACTCTAATCATAAACACCATAATTTTGAAAATACGTCTAATCTTAAAATTCTAGATACTAGCAGTTTGAACGGACATGAAGGCGTGATGTTAGCTGATGCATAGGAAATCCTTATTAATAAATAAAAAATGGATATGTATCACTAATTAATAATACTTGGTCAAATTGCTGACTGTCTATATCTTCCTGTGGAGACGTTAAGAAATGTTTTACAACTGTTTACACACACACGCATGCACACTCTGTTTAAAGTGTTTAACAAAGGTAGACCAATATTTGTAAGTCCGAGGTCAAATTTTGATCACAACTCATACAATTTTGTTTATTATACTTGTTAATACTTGTGTTTATGAATCATGATTGGACAAAGTTTTTAAAAACAAAAGATGTGCCTTTTATATATAAGACCTCTGTTATGTTAATTTTGATTAATTTCCCTGAAGAAGTTCGGACCAGATTGCCGAACGAAACGTTGGAATTACTCATTTCAATATCGCTGAGATATTACAAATATAATTTTTTTTACAAATGAATTAGAGTTATGTGAAACAATTGTGAAACAGTCAATAATTAATATTGATTTTGTGACCTGACATTAATAAGTGTTCTGCAATGGATGATGCTGGATTTCTATTAAGACTAATCGCGTTGGGATTTTCTATATGATTTTGTAACCATTTTGGAGCATGTTTTTTTTCGCCGACATTGGAACATCCTATTGCTTCTACCTGTATATGTGTCACCGCAGCTGCAGGTGAACTTGTAGATACAGTTTGAAGTAGAGTCCACAGAATTTCGTCCTTTAATCGTGGGTACAGGGATCGAAAATGTTGGGCAAATGAGAAAAAGAGATGTGGCAGCGTAGAATGTGCGTTTGATGACTGACCGAAGTCTTTGAGCTAACTGTCAACCGCATAATCTGGTCACCCTTGAATGGCAGGCTAATAATAGCTTCTGTACCAAAGAAAGCTATCTTTATTAACCTACCACTCAAGGGTGACTAGATTATGCAGTTGACTGTTAGCTCAAAGACTTCGGTCAGCTCCATGCTCATTTTGACGCATATTTAACCATTCATTGTGAATATGTAACTGAAAAGATGTCAGATTTTAAGAATTTTCATGGCGATTGATTTTTATTCTTTTTTTTTTGATTAACTTTCATTTTCACAGGACCAGAATGCTACCCAGACTATAATCCGTGCCAGTCAAATCCTTGCCAAAATGGCGGTGAATGTCATCTTAGCGGACAATATAATAAAAGTTTTACATGTCAGTGTACTGAACAATGGACTGGACATCGATGTACTGAAAGACGGTCAGCGTGTCTGGAAGAAGCCTTAAAACTTCAACATTATGAAAACCAGTCAACTGGATATGATGCTAATAGCACTGATTTGCCGTCAGTTTGTTTAAATGGTGGAACATGTTTTGAACACCCAATAAAATTTGAAGTTAGATGTGTATGTTCACCTGAATGGACTGGTGATAGATGTGAGTTGTCTGTGGAAGTGGAGTCGTTGGTAAGTAAGAAGTAAATGAGTATTAATGTTTTTTAACTTTTTATATTTGAGTAAGCTTATTGTTTGATTGTCTTTTTGGCGCAGTGAATGAATTATTCAAATTTTCAGTTAGAAGGTCACGCGTTCAGACCTCGTAACTGGCTAATATTACCAACCCTCATATTGTAGGTTTAGCTTAATATCAAGTGCTGTTGTTGTTGAGTGACATGTCGTATTATTCTGAATTTACTTCAGTGTAACCGTCCCCTTGATAAGGAAACTTCGATATTTCGAAAGCAACCTAACTCAGTCCTATGTAAGATTTTTTTAATGGCGCTGGAATTACGGTGGAATCTAACCCAACCACACATAAATTTTGTCGGCTTAAGGACTCGATATATCTAATTGAGGAGAAACAAGGTAATTTTCTAAATATCATGTAATGACTGTGAGGTCAGACAAGTAGATCCAGGTGATTTAGACTGTGGGAATATACAAATTTAGTTCTAGTTATAATGACTGATCCCACTAGGTTAAATAAGGGAAACTAGAAAAAGTGTGAGACAGGGTGAAGATATTAAAAAGTAACACATGCAGCTGGATAGAGTGACAGATTAATCACTGAATCTTTGTTCATCGAATCAACACTGAACACGCTCATTGAAAATGATGTAACATCTATACCAAATATATGGAAGATTACAATAAACAATAAGGGGAAGAGAAAAAATACATATATGAAGAAAATTAAGCCAATCACCATCAACAGGAAGGATTTGAAAGAGCTTACTTCATTCACTCATCTAGGGAGCATTGTCTCAACTACAGGCAGGTGAAACGGACGAAGATGTCAAATGGAGAATCGGGAAGGCGAGAAACACATTCATCAACCTGAATCCAATCCAATCTGGAAATCTTCCACTGTCACTCCTCAACATCAACAACAAAATTCGGATTCTCAATACAAACGTCAGTCAAGTCAGTCAGTTCTTCTATACGGATGGATCAGAAACTTGGCCAGTGTGTCACAAAGAATATTTCCAACAGCCTGTCACAGACCTTTATCAACAACTTACTGTCTTCACTGGCTCTATACTGAAGATCAGATGGCCGCCGGAAAGAACAAGAACCAACAAGAAACAAACTATGGGACGAAACAAACAAAACAAACAAGAACCAATCGCTTAACAAATATGCAGGAGAAAGTGTAGATGGATTGGACACTCACTGGCTGAGGAGGCCACTCGCTGGGTGACATCGCGCGTCAGGCCATAGCTCGGGTGGTACCCGAAAGGGAAGCGGCGAGTGTGACGTCCAAGCGTGACATGGAGGAGATCGTGTGGAGAAGAGTTGAAACAATATGGACTAACATGAACGCACGAGAAAAGTACATCAGAAGACAGAAGCAAGTGGATGCGTGTAGTTGAAGCCCTATGTTCCACTAGGAACCCAAGGGAACAATAATAATAATAAATTAAGCAGCCCTGTGAATAGAATGATACATTTTGAGCAATAAATTGTGTCCGAAACTTCATCCAGTTGTCGACATGATATCAATGTGTATTATATTTTAAAATCCTATCTAATATGGAATCTACTCTCTATTCCCTGGAGGAATCCAAAAGCCTGTGACTGATGTATGCATTAGCAGAAATAAGAAGCAATTAAAGACCACAAAGTACTGAAATGTTATTTGTGATTTCTGAATCAGACCGGTTCACTTAGGAATGGTAGACATTTATTGATATCGGGAGCCTAATAGAATGATCACTTGACTACCTGAAGAGACATTCAACATGCTGAATCATATTTTCTCTAATTCTTATTGTTTTTAGCATTCAGTTATATCCTATGAGTCGCGAGGTGTACTCACACGCACATTTAAAGTTGGCTTTTTCAAACTAGTAGTGCGACCTTCTCGGAGAGGAATGAAAATTTGATGAGAGATTAATCTATGCATTACGTGATATACTTTAGATTGTTATTTTTCTTGAAGGTCCTGGATAATGTGAGAATATTATGCAAATAGTTATGCTGAGAATTCCGTAGATTACATAAGTATTTAGTGCAGAATAAAGCTGTTGATACTGTAGTAATTCTAGGAGACCTACCTTCGAAAGGAACTGTATGAAACCAGTACAGATTTTGAATACATTCTCGCTCAAAGACTAGATTTCAGAAGCAAAATACTCATAAGAAGGTAACAGCCTGTAGACTACCACTTCATTAGATTATCGGTAAAACAGTCCTAACTGCTGAAGTTAAATGTGTATGTTTACCTCTGAATGGACACGTGATAGATGTGAGTTGTCTGTGGAAGTGGTGTCTTTGGTAAGTAAGGAGCAGTCAGTACTAAATATTCGACATTTCTTCTATTTGTTTTTACATTTGAATACATCTACTATTTGAGTGTCTATGTGGGTCACTAAGGGCAGTATTCAACTTTCAAACAGATAGTTACAGGTGTGAACCCCATTCCACCTACCCGTCAACATCATCAGCTTATAGATTGTAGGTGTAGCCCACTAAATGCTGTTTTCACACGTGTATCTGCAGTGATGTTTCCTATTGCTCAACATTTATTTCAGTATAACTAAGAACTCTCCTTGGTGCTAAATTCATATTTTTCTCAATGAACTTATCTGAATAATTTGCTCACTGTGTATCTACCATTTTGACTACAGCTGCGAAGCTAGCTACATTGGGGGTACAATTAAGCAGGTACATCACCATATTTCTGAACGTCATCCAGCATGCTTAAGTAAAAGATCAACTAGATCAATTCATAGCTCTGTTTTAGCGCACCTTGTAGATAGTGAGCATAAAATTGATATTAATACAGCATTTAAAGTTATTTATCGCATTCCAAGTAATCTTAACTTTGCTTTATGAGTTCGTCTTTTATATATACAGCTGAAGCAATAGGAATCCATTTGAAGAAGCCAAACCTGTGTGTGTTAAGAAGAAATTTGTACAGCCACTTTCCTTACCTTGGCCACCGTTACATGAATGTATAAAGTGGACTACTTCGCTCTCCTCTTACACCTTTTTAAAATCATAACTGTCCAAATTACTTTATAATTTTTTGACTACTTCATCTTTAATTACAAGTTACCATTGTCCAAATCACTTTGTTTTTCTTTAATAATCTGTTACGTGACTAACCTGGGCATTATGCATTATGCAGTCCACTCCTTGTATCCATTTCTACCTTTTAATTGTGTGTATTAATTTTATCCGTGAATTACCACCCCTTCTCTGACATGTTGACACAGACTAATTATTGTTGACAAACATATCGCCACTTGATTAGTAAACTCTTGTGTATTGTAATGAAACTGCTATACATGTATATTAGAGTCGTTCCAGCGTGAGATGAGGATCTAATTGAGAAGTAATGAATATTTTTCTTCGCTCAATCCTTTTTTTTTTCTAAATCCCGAAATGGGTATTTTTCTTTCATAACTTTAATGCTCTCGATGTTCTAAAATGTCTTAAAACGCCCAAGCCCTCACGTAGCCTTGGCCATGTTAGTATACCTGCATATGTTCTAAAACAATGTGCAGATGCTTTATGTTCTCCACTGACTAACATCGTAAATGCCTCTTTCTCCAAAAATGTCGTACCTGATGCATGGAAAGACATTAAAATATTCCCTGTCCCTAAACCTGGAAACAGCAAGAACGTAAAGTTCAGACCTATTGCCATCACTTCCCCGTTTCTAAAGCTTATGGAAACACTAGTACTTCTTAAACTTGAACCCTCCCTTAAAAACTTTGAAGACCCCAAACAATTTGCTTATAGACAGGGTAGGAGCACTTTAGGAGCTGCAGCCGTCTTACACAACAGTATCGTCTCATCATTAGATAAAGGTGCCAAATACGTCCGCTGCACGTTTCTCGACTTCACTTCTGCTTTCGACTCTGTACCTAGATGTCTCTTGCTAAATAACCTCTCTATGACAAAAATTGAGTCCTGGGTCACTAACTGCTTGCATTCCTACTTCTCTAACAGAAAGCAGTACACCGTATACAAAGGTAAATCCTCCTCTGCTGTGCTCACTGAAGCTAGTGTCCCCCAAGGTGCTGTACTCTCCCTACTTCTCTTTTCTTTCATTCTACATAACTTACCATCTTCAAATGACATTAATTTTGTCAAATATGCCGACGACCTGACAGTATCTTTGCCTGTCAAATGTCGAAGTGACTGCTCGAAATTAAATGGCTTTCTGTCAGAAATCAGCCAGTGGTTCAAGGAAAACGGTCTTACCTTAAAGCCCTCCAAATGCCAAACAGTCAATTTCACCTTTAGGCATAAATCCGACCTAAACAAACTGGTTGGCTCTCACAAGGTGTGCAACATACATGGCACTGAAATAGAAACCAAGTCGGAAATTAAATATCTAGGCGTCATTCTATCTGCTGATCTTTCCTGGTCGTCTCATACCTTGACGATTTCTAAGAAAATATTCCGTCTCACCTTCGACATCAAGAAGTTAAAACATTCTGGTATAACCCAACCCAATCCTTACTCCTACAATTCGTTAACTCTCGCATTCTGCCTATTATTCTCTATCGTTCCTTAGTTGCTTAGTTTTTCCCGGGCTACTGAAGAAAGACTATAACATCATATTACGCAGGATGTTAAAGGTTGTCAGCAGGGTAGGCGATGTGCCACTTAACCAGCTTGTTAATATTCTGGTCGACAGGCAGGCACATGAACTCATGTGAAAAATGGGCCAAATCCATTTTATCTAACTCACACCACCCTCTTCACTCACAACTCTCCCCATGCATCTATCTCATCAGGCAAAACCAGAAGCCTATATAGAAAACTATATGCTCGCACTAACAAGTACAAAAACTCAACCATACCTTACTTGGCTCGTGTTCTGTGCGATAAAGTAAGCATTAGGCGTGACACCTATAATTCATTAAATAGTCAGTAGAACAACTGGACCTCATCTTTCCAACTCATATCATTTATAGGTACAACGTTTTCTTTCTTTCTTTTCCTTTTCTCTCCCTCTTTTTTCTTCAGTTATGTGCTGCTTTGTTTCTTTCTCTCGCTTACGCCAGTAAATATGATAGCACCTACTTTTCTAACACCTTCAAACACTGTTTCCAGCTTTACCTTTGCTACCGACATGCCAATGTGTTGTTGTCATAATGAACTGAGATTTCCTTAATCTATGTAGAATTCTATTTATTGATAATGTACTAACTGGATGCAATACTGTAGTAAAAATGCTTAGAATTCCACTCTGTATCACATGTACTGTTTTGGAATAAAGCAAATTATTATTATTTATCGAAATAAAATGTTGTGATCAGACTGTTCGAAATGTATTGGGCAAAATTGTATCACAAAATTCTTCAGATGAAATCTCCGTCTTCTAATAGCACCAGCGGAACTGATTTAAAGACAGTAATTATTTAAATCATTGATTGATGTTTTAAGTGTACTGCTATTTTGTTCTCTTCTTTTTCTTCTTCTTCTTCAGAAAATCAACTGGATATTACTCACACTAATAACTGTAGGAATTGTTCTCTTTATTATAGTCGTATTACTAACAGTCGGTTTTGTCTGGAAATATATGCGAAGAAAGTAAGTGCACTGCAGTTTGCTGATTCACTTCTACCGGTGAACTAAATTTTTGTATGTGAGGAGTACATCCTGAATATATTGTTTTTAGAATGTAATTAAGATAATTCCATATTAGTTTGCTTATTAGATATATGACACAGTGATGAAACAGTATTATTTACTGGATGACACAGTTTCCAATAAAATTTATTGTTCATAATCATTCCATCAATTGTGATCATACGACTTTGACACTTGAGTTTTATAGTTTTCTTTGTTTTCTCCTATTTGTTGTCGTTGGGGTAGTAGAATTTTCCAGATATCGGGGAAAGGTGATGGATCATTCCTATTACAAGTATTTGTAGTTGATTCGATAAACAAAGCTTCTGTTATCAATCTCTCCCTATACCCTGTGACATTAGATTTTAAAACTGTCTGTCATCCTATCCCATCCTATTTCGTGGTTGTGTGTAACTGCATGTAGTGAGTGTTGTAGCTGAACTATTCTCCAGATTTCTTATCTTATTCGGGTCAACCAATCTAGATTTAGCTGCTAGGCTTTTATGCTCGGCTAGTCTCACTGCCCCTGTTCTACTAGTTTGACCTATGTACTTGACCTGACAATCATTCAGGCGGAGTATTAGATAAACTAAATTGTTTTGTTTTAAAGGCTCCACAAGAGTGATCCTTTAACCGACAAAGCTTGTTTCTAATTGAGCTTGTGGGCTTTAATGCCGTTTTTTTAACAAGGCAGGAATAAAAGTGGCATTTAAACCCACAAACTCAATTAGAAACAAGCTTTGTCGGTTAAAGGATCAATCCTGTAGAGCCTTCAAAACAAAACAATTTAGTTTATCTAATACCCAGCCTGCAATGATTGTCAGGTTAAATACATAGGTCAAACTAGTAGAACAGGGGCAGTGAGACTAGCCGAGCATAAAAGCCTAGCAGCTAAATCTAGATTGGTTGACCCGAATAAGATAAGAATTCTGGAGAATAGTTCAGCTATAGCACCACACAACCATAAAATAGGATGGGATAGGATGACAGACAGTTTTAAAATCTAATGTCACAGGGTATAGGGAGAGATTGATAACAGAAGCTTTGTTTATCGAATCAACTGCAAATACATGTAATAGGAATGATTCATCACCTGTCCCCGATATCTGGAAAATTCTACTACCCCAACGACAACAAATAGGAGAAAACAAAGAAAACTATAAAACTCAAGTTTCGAAGTCGTGTGATTACAATTGATGGAATGATTATGAACAATAAATTTTGTTCGAAACGTCATCCAGTAAATAATACTGTTTCATCACTGTGTCATATATCTAATAAGCAAACTAATATGGAATTACTTACTACCACAATGCCCAAGTTTTACACATATATTAATATGTGATTAAGATAAAATCACCACACACACACGCACATATATACAATTCGAGGTGGCAGTCCATCATGGTTTCTTACTCTTAAATCACAAAAGAGATTATCAACCTCATAATATATAAATAGCAAACACAAAAGTGGTGGGATACAGTAGTGTGGTGGAAAAATTTGTTTTATTCCTTTACTTTCTCAGGGGAACATAGGGCTTCAAGCTACAGGCTTCTCTCTTTGCCAGTCCTATTACCGGCTTAGCGAGGTAAAGGGGCGTGTTGGTCGGGTATCGAACCCCGAACCACGTACAAGGCTGGCGAGCATTCCTTGCGCTGTGCCACCGGCACACGTGGAGGAATGTACTACTTACTAACTCATGTGAGTAGGTAGTAATAGGACTCATGCCAACAAATATCACTTGCTAGTTGAATTAAAATGATCTCAAATAGTTTGCAGGGAATCTCAGTTGACTTGAATGATTAAACACAACCGTCAGACAGTGATGATCGATTCTGGAATCTATCCGATTCTGATTCACTATCCTGAAAAAGCACACACAGTTATCCATAAGTAGTAATTCTGACAGTATGAGATGGATAACCTCGTATCCTGTTAGAGTTGAGTGCACAATGTACTGAACGGCTGTTTTGCCTCAGCTTAGAACTACTCGGCAGTGCTCACACACTTCATCAAACGGGGATCGAACCAGTGTGGTCCATGGAGTTTGGTACAAGCGGAAATACACGGAGACAACATTGGCTGGCGGTAACGCTATGCATCGCGGACAAGCGGTAGTAGGAATTCATGAGCCATTGAATCCCATCTCAGTGACTATATAATAAACAGACTCACTTCATAACTCAGAGGTCCTATGTTTGATCCCCGGTAGCTTTACGCGTAAGTGTTGTCCAAGAGCCCCATACTAGGTAGAAACAGTTTCACAATACTCCATGGTGCTTACTTGTTCTTCAATTGACATCATGCGTTGTGTAACTTGAAGTCGAACAGATTCTTACAAATCACCGCTTAAGAATGATTACTTGTTCAAATTATTATTGGGAATCTTCCATCTCTGCATTAAATTTAGGGCGAAATCCTCGTCCACTGTTGATGATGGCTAACACTTGAATCCAGGACACACGATTCCCTCTTTTTTATTTCTTTTCTGCCGATATGTATATCAGACAAGGGGTGACTTTTGTCGATGTAAGTTTGAGACAATGCGTGCTGATTTCACACGTTGAAATGAACTGAAAAACAGCATTCGATACTTTTAGTTATGATTATTTCCGAGGAAAATTGACTGGCTGTCACAAAAAGCAACTCTTATGAATTGAATTTACACAATCTGGTTAGGTATGCATGTGCATATATATAAATATGCAGAACTTAAGGGAGAAGATATAGTACAAAATAATTATTCATGTATAATCCCCATTCAGGCATTAATGAAAACCAAACACGTAGATCAGCGAAGAGTCTCTCTTCGGCATCGAATTCATTTTCTTAGCTGTTCAATCGCAAATATATATGTGTTATTTTGTATGTATGTGTACAATAAGTTTATCAAACAAAAATACAATTGGTTATAGTTATTTAAACTAAACAGGTGAAGATTGGTAATTGGAGTTACGCAATACAAAATCAGTCAAGAAAATTAGGTGTTAGTGAAATTAGGGTAGTAACAAAGGTGATGCATTGTCACAAACAGTTGTTAAAAGAAGTTATGTAATAATATGAATAGTTTGATGAGTGAGTTTTATTCAGGATGCACATAGGAACAAAGTAGATAATACGAAATTACATAAGAGTTCTAAATGAATACAAGAATTATAAGCAATTAAAGAACAGGCAAAGAAACAAAATTAAGTCATCGAAATCAAAATAATCAAATCAAATAAAAAAAGTTGTTACCAAGACAGTAGAGGTGGTTGAGTCATCCTTTTTTGTATGCACACCTCCGGTTTTTCTTTGTGAATGACCAGAGCTTCAGCGATACAAAGAAGGCGAAACCGTATTGCCTTTGATAGGTTGTTCTTGACTCTGTAGATTACTTTGAAGGAGGCGTTTGTTGAAATGGAACGATCAGTGTTAACCAGGTGTTCAATTATCGCACTCCTTATTGGACCACTATTGCCTTTTCGCAACCATGCTGGATAGTGTTCTTGAATCCTCTTGGACAGGATGCGCGTCGAACGACCGATGTACCTGGCTCGACAGCAGCAGGTGAACTGATATATGCACACAGAAGTGGTCAGATGCGGGATCTTGTCCTTGAGGCTCCTGTAGATCAGTGGGCGACTGGAGGACACTATTCTTAGCATTACTGCAAAGAATGCTCTTCTCAGAGATGATGTGATCCTTCTCTTGAGAATATCGCTTGCTAAATCTCCCAATCTGTGACCATAGTTGCTATGGCGATCACTGAACATCAGATCTATTTTTTGTTATATTTTGACTGTGTATTGGTATTTAATGCTGTGATGTTCTTTTTAACAAAACAGGCGCGCAGTCGAATTCAATGATAAACACGGAGCCATTGTATACTATCACAATCCTAGAAATTCTACCCAATCGAATTATGGTAGTTCATGTCCCCTGAATCCACATTTCATGAATAGTACATACGAGGATACTTCAAATAATCCACCAATCATTGTCAAGCCATCTAATGCTGTTTATTCAAAAAAGCTAGAACCAAGTCCACTTATAGATGAATATGACGAATGTGATCCCCTAGGTATATATGCTGGTGCAGAGATATACGCAACTGCATTCCCACCGGATGACATTAAAGCAGAAGAAGAAGAACATGGTGGAGATATAGGAAAGACAGATGAAAAGGATAAACGAATATCAGTAACAGAGACAATTGTAGATCCATTTGACGAAGATGCCCCTCCATTACCGCCTCTACGACCAACAACATTCGATGCTTCACCATACCAATTATTAAATGAATGCACTCAACTAATCGATAAAAATCAAAGACCACAATCTCCATCAACATTGAGTACATTTACAAATAATTTCAATGATACAACACCATATCATCAACCGTCTAGTCTACAATCTGAACAATTACCAAATGTCTCGATCATCAACTCATCCACTTTTGATAATAATGATAATGATAATAATAACAGTGATAAGCCAGCTATTTATCAGCGAACATCAAGTATTAGTAATGTTTAGTAAATGCTTTTTTTATTTACACAAATAATTCCATTTTTGAATTTTATTCACGATTAATCAATATTTTTCTTAAAAATATGGAAAACTAAATTAAAATTTTAACAGCTGATTTCAAATTTGATCCCGGGAATGTATACAATCTTTATTTGATTAAATAAGGAAGAGGAATTTGAATTAGGCGGTGAAAATCTCTCTCTCTCTCTCAAATGTTTGGCTTTGTTCAATTGTTCAATTCGCCCAATTACTGATACTTTTGCTTGTTTCGTTTTTAATCAGTTTTCGTGATTTATGATTTGTGATTTATCTGCCTCTTCGCCTTTTTAATCTATTTCGCTTTTTGTTTTTTACTGTTTGTAACATATTGTGTTCTGAACATGAGTAAACATTATTGCATCTTGTATTTATATTTGTGGACAAAAGTCTAAATATCATTCCGATTTTAAAGTCGTAGTGTTTTGTTTTCGAATTATTGAATTTTGAAGTCGTAGCAGTGAATGAATTTGTCTGATTGTGTACTGGGTTAAAAAGGAAAAATGGCGCCAAAACTAAGGCTGTTATAGAAACGTTACACTAATGTAAATGTTTTCAAATCTTATGCAGAACAGGTGTCGGAAGTGTCGTGGAATCCGTTTATCTGAATAAGAGACAGATGAATAGTCAGTATATCTACAGTTTGCATTGTGATTGAAAGAATATCACGACAGATCATGATTGTCTTTCATGCATTTATTCCCCTTGATGAATTTAAATAAAGCAAGAACAAGAGTGGTTTGTGCAGAATAATATGGTACCATCATTTATTTCGTCGGCTTCTCATCAGCTGCTTACAGCCTAAATAAATTGTGAGGTTTACGTACAGAAAAGTTTTAACATACTTGCAAATTTTACATGTTGTCAGTTGACAGAAAGTTCCACAGTAAGTGAACAGTGCTCAGAAAATTGTGCTTATATAGTTTTTACACAGGCAGTTCAAGTTTAAACAAAATAAATGTATGCATACAATGGTAAAGGAGTTACGTGATAAACACTAGAGGTGAGTAAGATGATGAGTAATTAATAAATTTTGTAACGATGTACTGAGTTCAAATCACGTCATAGAAACAAGAGACAAGGAATATTACAGATTATTAAAAAAAGTGGGGTGAGGTTAAAGACAAAGTTTGCGTAATCAGAGTAAAGAATAAGGACATCCAGTTATCATGGCAAGGAAAGACTAATAACTACTCCTTTCTGAACACATAAATCCCGTCTATCAAACAACTTGCTCTTTGGTGCAATCAAAATTCGATAGATATCCTTCTTATGTTAACTCCAACTGTATATACAAATTTACATGTATCTGCGGGAGCAGTTACATTGGAAGAACAGAAAGAAGGGCATATCTACGATTTTCTGAACATGTACCAAAAAGCTTACGTCTAAAGGGAACAAATTCTTTAAACAGTGCCATCGCCAGGCATCTCCTCGACACGGGTCATGAGGTGGAAATCGAGAAATCCTTTAAAATTATCAATAGACAAAGGAGCTCCATTCTCCTCAAGTTTGCCGAAGCAATTTCTATCAAACGCTTCAAACCAGATTTATGTGTTCAGAAAGAAGTAGTTATTAGTCTTTCCTTGCCATGGTAACTGGATGTCTTTATTCTCTACTCTGATTACGTAATCTTTGTCTTTAACCTCACCCCTCTTTTTTTTAATAATCTGTAATATTGCTTGTCTCTTGTTTCTATGACGTGATTTGAACTCAGTACATCGTTACAAAATTTATTAATTACTCATCATCTTACTCACCTCTAGTGTTTATCACGTAACTCCTTTACCATTGTATGCATACATTTATTTTGTTTAAACTTGAACTGCCTGTGTAAAAACTATATAAGCACAATTTTCTGAGCACTGTTCACTTACTGTGGAACTTTCTGTCAACTGACAACATGTAAAATTTGCAAGTATGTTAAAACTTTTCTGTACGTAAACCTCACAATTTATTTAGGCTGTAAGCAGCTGATGAGAAGCCGACGAAATAAATGATGGTACCATATTATTCTGCACAAACCACTGTTGTTCTTGCTTTATTTAAATGATCATGATTGGTTGGACAAATTAAATAGTTTTGACAAAGACCGTTCATGAATATACCTCGTTCTTAAGGCTAATCAAATTTTCAAAGCTACATTATGGATTTTAGATATTCAGTGTGATTGTGGGTTTAAGTATAAACAAGCTATTGTAGTACTTATTCTCTAATAGAGTCTACATTATTCAAATGCTGAAGGAGTAATTCAGAGAACAGACTTTACCTGGCAGTCTTATCCCTTTGTTTGTGTGAAGTAATTTGGCAGCTGCTTCAACACTACGGAGCGCAGTGCCATGAACACTTATACACTTTACAATTTATTTAGGATAGTAGGCTATATGCCTGTGTTAATCCTTTCGACTTGTTACCTACAGGAGGTCCAGTCTCGCCTTGAATGAATCAACGGGTGGCGCTGATACGACGTGTTCCGGTAGGGAGTTCCAATGGTTCACAATCCGATGCGAAAAACGGATCTCTAGACGCAGACGATTCGACCGTGGTTTTTGAACCTTGAGGTGATGTCCTCGCAATTGGTTGGTGGTAGAAGGAAGAAATAAATTAGATAAATTAGCTCCAAAATCATTTCATAGGATATGGTATGCTAGTATTAGGTCACCCCTAAGTCGTCTGTATGACAGTGGAGATAAACCCAGTCGACTTAACTTCTCCTCATATGAGAGAGTTGAGAAACCCTTTATTAGCTTAGTTCTTAATCTTCGCACCCTTTCTAATAAGTCTGTTTCGTATTTGAAACACGGGCTCACTGCTTGGATCCCATATTCCAAATGAGGTCTGATATAAGTCGGATATAATATACGAAATATTTCAGCGTCAAAATTCGCAAAAGCCTTGCGTATGGCTCATAATATTCGAAAACCCTTAGTGACTGCAGCTCTACAGTTTGTTGCTGTTTTCAAGTCATGCTGCACAACCACTCCCAAGTCCTTGTACTCAGTGACCACTGGGAGAGCAATGCCATTCATTGAGTGATTGTGCACGTGACTATGAGATACATGCATAACTACACTCTTGCTTAAGTTAATCTCCAAGGCCCAGTGCTTACAGCAATCACTTAGCAAGTTTAAATCTTCCTGCAAAGCAAGTTGGTCACTGTCATCGTGTAAAGCCCTCCATATCTTGATGTCATCAGCAAACAGTTAGTAGGACGACTTAACTACCGATGGAATCTCATTAACATAAATCAGGAAAAGAAGTGGGCCTAGAATTGTACCCTGAGGAACGCCACTCTTAACCGATTCCCATGTTTATAAAACCCCGTTAACTCGTACTCTTTGTCTTCTGTCCTTTAGAAAGACTTGAATCCAGTCGGCAACCGCTTTATTGATTCCCAGACTACCTAACTTTACCAGAAGACCTGAATGAGAAACTCTGTCAAACGCCTTGCTAAGGTCGATGAATATGGCATCCACCGGTATATTAGCATCAGCTGAGGTTGCCCAACTTTCTCTGGACAAAAGAAGGTTGGTCAAGCAAGAATGACCTGCTCTAAAACCATGCTGTTCCACAGCGAAAAGTTTGTTCCCTTCAATGAACTGAATGATAGCATCACGAATTATTCTTTCTGGTAGTTTAACAACAATACTGGTTAAACTAACAGAACGATAGTTCTGAACTAAGTTTCTAGACCTGTTTTGAAGACCGGACTAATGATGGCATCTTTCCAGTCTCTTGGAGATTTAGACTGGTCCAGAGACATATTGAAGATTACCGACAATGGCTCGGCTATGTTTTCAGCCAATGCTGTTAATATACGTGGGTGGAGTTCATCAGCGCCACTGGACTCACCAGGATTGAGCCTCAGAAGCCACTTTAGGAAAGTGTCTTTTCCAATGTATAAGGGTGCCATTTTCAAGTTACCTTCTGGAAAAGTTACAAAGCTGGTATCAATATTATCAGAGAATAATTGACTAAAGTGCTTGGACAAAGCCTCAGCCTTAGTCAAGTTATCCTCAGCCATGTTTGTCTGGTCATCTTCAAACATAAGAGGTGGGATAGCATCCATCTTACGTGTTCTTCTCTTGATATATGAGAAGAGCCTTTTTGGGCAGCCTGGTGAACTTTTAACTAACTGGGTTTCGTAAGCTATCCTTCACTGGTGAATCAAAGTTTTACACTGGTTTCTGGTTCCACAGTATAAACCTCATTCATTACATATATGTTCATTCCAGGTGTTAGTTGATCCACAACGGAAAACTCAGTGTTGTTTTTCAATTGAGGACAAAATTAAGGATAGGCTGCCTACTATCTTCGATGATCTTCTTGACTGGGATGAACCGGATCAAGCGACAGACCATGGGGAATGAGAAGACGAACCCACGATAAAAAGGCTTAAACGTGTCTTACGGGTCAAAAAAATATTTATTATTACTTTAAACCTGCCTTAGTAATCCAGTCTGCAACCAATGTTCTATTTACTTAATTGTATTTTCGTTCCCCATTCTTCATTCTTTCTTCCTTTCGTTCTTTACCTACACCCTTGCGTTATCGTCCTAATCATCATTTGCGACCTTGACCTGTACACAATCTGACCTGTTTTGTAATAATTTATGATATCCTTTGTGTATGACAAGTACGTGTGTGATCAGAATGTCCGATATGTGGTGTGCAAATACACTACACGTTTCAGATAAACTACGTCTTCTTACCGTGTGAATTCATTCAGGCTGCTGCTTTACGCTCATGTTCTTATGCATGAACCATGTTGCTCATGCATTATGAATGAGGACTCGTCTAAGTCTTTCCAGCACATTATTGATTGTATCACTATTGCAAATATTTTTAATTCCTGACTGCATTCACAAAAATAATATTTAACCGATAATTATTCATAACCCAAGCACCAGATATCTTAAGATCAGGAGACAGCACGTATACATACACATAAGTATACAAATATTAATAATGACTTTATTTTAAATAATACATTTGTACACATAATATAGAATTCTACGCTGATTTTATTGCAAGGTATTTATTACATACGGCCAAATGTATGAACAAATTCAAGGGACAGCTATGGGATCACCCATATCAGGATTGAATGCGGAAGCCGTCATGCAAAGACTGGAAAACATAATTCTGCCAAAGATCAAACCGAAAATTTGGATACGCTACATAGATGATACATTCGTGATAATCAAAAGAGAAAACTTAGACAATACCCACAACATAATAAACAACACCTTCAACGACATCAAATTTACAAGAGAAGAAGAATATGAAAACAAAATCCCATTTTTAGACGTCTTAATCAAACGAACAACTACAGGAAAATTAGAAACCCAAGTATACAGAAAACCAACGCACACGGATTAAATACTAAATTACAACAGTAACAACCCAACA